TGTCCCATGGGGAAAATAGCCTAGTAGATTAAAATGTTGGCTTGTGAATTTGGTAACATAGTAATTGTGACTGTACTAACTCATTTCTATTGAGTACTGACTTCATCTTGATGCTTCTGTTTTGATTCTGTTTAACTAGTAATGATAATAATATTAACCATTTAATTATATAGAAGCATTCAGTATTCATTGCCAAAACAGTTTTGCTGTCAGTTTAAATATATAAACTCTTTCTAAGCATTTCTTTTTACAGAAAATTAGACTTCTCCAATTCATTAAATGTTATAGCTTTTCTAATATTGATGGGAGTTTTTTCAATCTTTTTAGAAGAAAACAAAACAGAAATTATGATTTACATTGTTCGGACTTGTCCTCATCTTTATTGACATATTCACAAAGTTTCAGCCATTGTCTGTTCTGGCCTTCTTCAGGTGATTGGAATTTTGAACTAAACCTTTTACTTTGTCCACTGGTGTAAAAGAAGGCCGGAGTGTACAACAGGTGAAATGTTGTGACTATGGCAACAATGTAAATAATTACAATACCTCATCTCAGAAATATCAACAAATTATGATCTGGAATTAGAATGAGAGTTGTAATGGTACATACCCTGTGACACAGTATTGTCAGCCTGGGGTCAACTCCCAGTCGTGGTGCGAAGCTGTGATACTTCTCCTACCAGCATTTTGGGGTTGACACTTAGTCACTGTCACCAACAATGTGACCTGATCAATCGGCAGTCATCGCTACCCAGTGGGATCCTTTGGTCAGGGTACCAAATGGGATGGTCGGTTGATTCTAACAGCTTCACACCAGATGCAACTGGTTCAAAACCAGCTCCATCATTCTCAGATCACTTCCAATGACTGGTTACCGAAGTAACTACTTTGATCTCAAATCTAACCTCTCCATGTTGTGATTTGATCTTAGGTAGACGAGATCAATCAGACATCAGGCCATAGTGCAAGACATCACCTCCAGTTTATGCACAAGCATAAAAAGAAATAAATAAAAACCAGAAAAAGGTTTGGGTATGTTGAAAGAAAGCAAATTAATTTTTATCAGTCTGTTCTATACAGGAGTATGTGTTTTTCCCAACCCATTTCTTCTGAGAGTGACACTATTATACTTCTAGGCAAGTTCTGGTCTTCTAAGTCAACTGGTTTAGTTTTTTGGTGCTGGCTTAGCTTTGTTCATCAGTATAACTTGCTGTTTTGTAGAAAGGTGAGGTCAGAGGCAGAAGTCATGGAATCTTTCGGTCAGCTTCTGCAAGGCAACTCTCTGGTTCCTACTGTTGAACTGATTAGTTAATCAGTTACCATAGCTAAATAGTGTCACAACCGAATCCATCATAAAAATTCTGGATGTGGATTAATAAATACTAGACACTTCAAATACCTTGGTCTATGGATCAGTTCTAGCAAATTTATTTATTATAGAAGATAAGGAAACTGAATATAGAATAGGTTGCACTAATGCTAGTTTTATCCAACATTGCCAGATACTAAAAAGGCAAAATATTAACTTTACATTATTCGGACTATTATCCTCATCTTTGTCGCTATATTTATTACGTTTCAGCCGTTGTACACTCTGGCCTTCTTCAGGTGGTTGGAATGTCAAACTTAACCCTTTATTTTGCTCACTGGGGTAGACTGTTCTAGTTCCACGTGCCATGTTTAATGGATGTCAGTTATCTCCTGTTAATTTCCCTCTGAAAGTTCTCCACTGCCTTAACCGGGTATTGAATTCACATTCTTTGGGTCTTGTCACTGGATCTAACCAATGCCTCTATCCACTGTGCCATGTGTCCTGCTGTTATATATATTGGCCTTGGTATTTCTGTAAACCTGCAAATCTTGGACATCAACAGCAGAATTTAGAGCAAATAATCCAAGCATTAAAAATGAGATGCTACAGAACCATTCTAGACATCTCCAATGTAGACCACATCACAAATAATATAGTGAGAGACATCATTCAACAAGAAGCAGGTTCAGTTGAAGACCTCATGACCAGTGGCAAAAAGAGAGATTAGAAATAGAAAATTTTACCCTACGAGTTATCAACTTAGGCGTCTCCTACGTAGACTGTATCACAAATAATACAGTGAAAGATACCATCTGACAAGAAACAGGCCCATTAGAAGACCTCATGACCACTGTCAAATAAGAGAGTGTAGAAATGGTATAGAAATGTGATCCTACAAGGCATCACCTTAGGCCTCTCCTATGTAGAATGCATCACAAATAATACAGTGAAAGACACCATCTGATGAGAAACAGGCCCATTGGAAGACCTCTTGACCACTGTCAAAAATAGGAAGTTGAAATGGTATAGAAATGCCAACAATCTTTCCACTGTCACCCCTACAAGGTATCACCTTAGGCAAATGAAGAAGAGGAAGATAGTTGAAAAACATTTGCTGACAATGTCATTGAATGGGCTGAAAGATCCTTTGCAGAGACTTGGACATATGACCAAAGACATATGGCAGGAGCTGATCAGATGTTCAGTTGTGCAATGACCCTATGAACATACCCATTCTTGAGAGTGATGACGATGCCTATTTGTAGCTGAAATATTATCTTTATTTCAGTTTTTTTTTTTTAGATAAAATATTATCAACTAGTAATTTTGAGTATTTATTTAATTTTAATTTGACCTAGACACCCATAGTTCAGTCAGAACAGCTAGTGTTTAGCTGTCCGCTACCACTTTTTCACAAATGTCGATTTTCGTGCAGAGAGCGGATCACATATTCATAAATGTTTCTGAAAACATGAACTTCTCATTGGATAATAAATATTAAAATTATCTCGTATATCTTTTTTTACGTGCATTGTTCTCAATAAGCAACACAAAAAAACATCAGGCTCCAGACTGAGTTTTGTAAGGCACTTTCTGAGTGGTTAACAGATGTTAAAAAAACAATTTACCTGCTCACCACTACGTCCGAACAACGTCAACCTAGTTTTTGACCTGACGAAAAAACAATGCCTTCGGAGCCTGTCACATGGTTAAAAAAACATGTACGAGCGAACCCAGTCAGTGAGAATTTACGACAACCAAATTTGCTAAACGACTTCACGACGCTTGAATCATTACTGCAGCAAAGTACAAAGTTGGAACCTAAAAAAATTCTTTAACATGAAATAACTTCACTGAAAATCAAGCTACAATTTCAACGAAAGATCTCACTCACCAACTTCTACAATTTTGTAAAAGTAAAAAAACTTATTCAATTACGTTATTGAATCAGACGAAACTTAAGTTGTACAAACAATTACGAACAATACATTCAACTACGAGCAACGAAAACAAACGGAACATTTACTTCTCCAACTTCTTTAAAGCTAAAAGTTTATTAACATATTTTCAGCTTTATAAGGTTCTCTTTCAGTAAACATTTTGAACTACAAGTTAATTCAGTTTTTGTGAGCTCGGATAAAAAAATGTTTTTTTTTATTAGTAAAAACAATAGCCCAGTCAAAGGGAAGTAACTCATATTAGTCTTATTGTAAAACTGTTGTCATTTATAAATATAAATATTATACCTGTTAAGAAAAGTTATTTTCTTGTGTTTTTTTTCTTGTTTACTTTTTATTTTCTTACACATTCGTAAAGTAAAAAAATGTGTGGGTTGATTTATTCCGTCAATACCACTACAAGTGCATTCCACCAGGCTTTCTTGTAAAAGGGATGTGAATTTAAATCAGACCGCATGGTTAATTCTTATTTCTGATTTAGGCCGACTATTCACTGAGTAAAGTTCTGATAAAAAAAAAAATCAACTTATAATATAAAGATGAAAATAAATACTTATCAAAAAGTCACTTTTCTTTGTATATTTAATAATAAAAATACAATTAAGACATTCATTCATACAAAATGTAAACAATGTCAAATTAAAAACCCATGCAGAAATATAAACACAAATCCTTCAAGATGAATAAAACTAATAAAAGGTATACAAAACATTAAAATAAAAAAAAACTCTTTGGCAATTAAAGAATCATAATATTGATACGAGTAATTTTTTTTTTTTTTTTTTGCAACCAAAAAAAGTTTGGGAAAAAAGTCATATGTACAAACATTATAAATAAAAAGCACAAACAAAAAAAAATTAGATTCAATGTGAATGTCCTTTCTTTAATTTGACTGGACTGAGATTGGTAAAAAATTTCCAGGATCTATGCATTACCCAAGTTTCCTGAACAAGAAGTTGAAAAGACCAACTTGCTTTTAGTAGAAAAAACAAACACAATACAAAAAATAAAATATAAGTTGGGTTTTCCGAAGAAAAAAAAAAAAAAGCAATAAAACTTTCTTGCATCTGAATTTGATTCTGTCTAAAATGATAGACTGATTGAATTCAAATTCTTCTATCTCATGATACAATCTTTTCAAACATCTTTGTGAAATTTCAACAATGCAAAAAGATTGACTCAAATCAGTCTCATTATCTCAGAGAAAACACAATGATCCCAGTCATATACTTTATATATATAATGTGTTGTATGTGTATGTGTTCATATATATATATATATATATATATATATATATATATATATATATATATATATATATATATATATATATTTTGTACATATTTGTTCATCAACAGTTTTAAAACATTGGGTGCCCCAATATGGAGTAACAGCTATCAAGCTAGTCAGGTTTATCATTGCTATTAAGAAGCGAGTTCAATCCTCACTAGATGTCCCATATTTGTGGCACTGGGCTAAGTTAAAGATTGTTTCATTGATTCATTTTTTTATGGCTTATAAACCTTTTTGCAGGTTATTTAAATCCAGAAAATATTTTTTAAATTGTAAGAATTTTTTGGGAGACAATAATTTTAGTGATACACATCTTACTAATTAACCCATAGCTGGGCAAAGAAAAGGTGAATTCATACCTTTCCCAAGGGTATTTGCAGGTAAGTAAATATAATGAACCCAACTGGAATTGTAACTTAACTCTCCAATTAACAATTTTACAGCACCTGGTATTCCCAAATGGTTTCCCATTAAGGTACTGATCAGGCTTGACATTGCTTAACTTTGGTGATCATATGAGAACTGGTGTTTCAACATGATATGAATGTAATCCTCAAACTAAAGATGAGATTTTTTTTTTCAAATCACTGTTATCCAAAAAAATTAGCAATTCCAAAGAGTGTTGACAAGTTCCAAAAAGAGAAAAGGTTTGGAAAAGTGTTATTAATTCAATCTCATAAAATAAAATATATAAATTTCATTTAGTTTTTACCTACAAGTATAGACTTTTTGAGAGAGTCTCTTCTCTTGTATTATGTGGAAATGTGTGGTGTTTAGATAAACATACCTTATTTTATGTAATGTAAAGATTAACAGTAGAGATTATTTATTTCACATACCCACTGAGTGCAAACTCTAACAAATCTTTTTTTAACATTGACTTTTACAAAAACGAAAATATATTTGGTTCCCTTAGTTTTAGCTGTAAACATCAGGACATAATACAATTTAGTGCAATGTGGAAGTGTTATCTACATTTATATACAGGTAGGTATTTCAATACATCTGACACTGTTATATATATATATAATATGTACAACATAAAATAGCGTTAAAAGAAAAACATTTGAATTTTTTGTTGTCTAAGCAGATGAATTTATGAAATTATGACAGTTTGCCTGAAAGGATTTGGAAAGAAAGAATCAAAATAAGAACGTTGATAATGATGATGATTAAGGATTGGACTGATGATCTCAAGGTTTATATCTTACACTAGCAAAGGTGTTATTGCAGTTTGATTATAATACATCTGTAAGGCAAAGCCGGCAGAATGGAACCAATAAACCAAATTCAAACTCCAGCTGTATAATGTAACATCTCAATCCCATAATCATTGTTACATTAGCATATGCACAGAATATACTAAATGTAATAACTCTTATGGGACAGTGGTAGTATTGTATGGACCAAGCATGTGAGCAACAATGAGGTCTTAGGATGCAAACAAGGAGGAGGCTTATGCTTAACATCAGCAAGAGGTAGCTGAAGTTTCTGGGACACATAATGAGGAAGGAGTGCCTGGAGAATCTGATATTGAGAGGTCAAATAGAGGGAAAGAGAGACAAGGCAAAACAACGCATGACATACCTAGCGGGCTTAAGCAAGTGGATGATGTGGTCTGGGGCAGATAGCAGAGGGAAGGGATTTGTTGCAAGCTGCAAGGGATAGAGGGAGGTGGAGAGCCATGATCTCCTACATCCTGAAAGGACATGGCACATAAAAAGAGAAAAAGAAAGGTAGTATATTATATTAGTATACAATTTCAGTCCTATAATAATTGTTACATTTTGTAAGGTGTTCAAAATCTTATGGGACTTAGAGAAGGTTAAAAAAACTATTAATAGTAATAAGGAACAGTGTATCAACCCAGAGTATAAGGATAAAAAGCAACACACACACACACACACACACACACACACACACACACACACTGTTGAAAATTTAGTCTAATTATGAGCGAAGAGGACTAAATATTGGAGACAGAACATAGGAATCAACACTGCATAGTTGCTCAGTCTTATGTATCACACTTTAGTTTGAAAATTGCTCAAGACATGAAAGTGACAGTTACCATGCGATGTTGATTCCTGTGTCCCCCACTGTAATATATATATATATATTGGCCACAAAGGGCGCTGTCGATAAAGCAAAGCTAGATAGTGCCTTTAAGTGAAATTCTTCTGAACTTAGATCCTCATCTCTGTTCAGTTTCATATTCAAATGTAAACAAAACAATTTCTAAAGTAGTAATGAAATTTTGTTTTTAGAAATTCAATCCAGTATTAATTATAGATTTCTACCTATAATCAACTAATGCCCACCATCCCTAAAACAGGACAATGGATATTAATGCTTTAAGTAAGTAACACTCATAATTATGAATTAAAAATCCCATATATATATATATATATATATATATATATATATTTTTATAATCAGTCACCCTGTGCAAGGCACTAAGACACAAGGGGTTACTGGGTGTGGAAGAATTAGGAACAGAAACATTAATAACAGGGGGAAAGAGAAAAGAGTAATCAGGAGGACAGTAGATAGCAATTGACATTGCCTTTAAGTTTTTGTAGATTAAAATTGGTGGGAAAGCATGGAGCCAGGAGTTCTACAAGCAAGAAGTGTGAGAAAAGAAACTGTTAGCATAGAATTTATGGCTACACCTAATCAGCTCAACTGTAAACTGATGAGATCTCAACACCAGTCTAGTACTGCAATTAAATTAAAAAAAAGTCTCGGTACCATAGCAAAGAGTTCAACTGAACAATTATCATGAAAGTATTTATAGAAAAGGCACGCACAGGCAACCTTATAGCATAAGTTTATAAAAATCTGGTATTATAGGTTTATAGAAAATGTAGTATTAATTGTAGATTTCTACCTAAAATGCATTAACACCCACTGTTTCCAAAATGGGTTGACAGGCATTAATAGGTATGATATTGATTATGGATGCTTAAGGCAGCAGAAATGTGGTTCTACATAAGAAAGCTGAAAACATCATGGACCAAGTATGTGAGCAATAAGGATATTTAATGAAAATTGAAACAAAATGACAATTATACTTAGAAAGAGACAGTTAAAATTTCTGGAACACATAATGAGGAAAGTGGGTCTGGAGAAATTGACATTCACATGACATACAGAAGGCAAGTGGATCAGTGGGAAACACCAAGTAATCTAGCTAATGAAATTCTGTAAATGGATGGCAGAATGAAAACTGAAAAGAGTAGTAAGGGAATAAGCATTGCTTTAGTTACAAAGGAAAAGAAGTTGTGGAGAACCATGATCGGGCAGGGAACATGAGAAGAAAAAAAATTAGAAATTATGAATTAAAATGACTCAAAAAATGTGAAGACTCACCATGAAAGGAGGCCATTCCCCCACTCTGTATAATGTAGGTATTAAACAAGAATCTTTGACAAACAGAGCTCAGCCAAATATCTAGTCCGTCACCATGACAACAGGTGGAGCATCAGTCACTAAACAGATATTCAAATGACTAGGCCAGAATATGATTCCAATCAAAGAACATGGAGCAATGAGATTGTGCACCATGTAGGTACAACATATCTGAATTTTTGAGATGAGGAATTATCATTTTTATGTATTGATTTACATAGACGAGTATGCACAACTGCGATGATAACAGACACAGAAAGAAAACTGCAAAAATTCCTAGAAAAGGTAGAAAAAGAAAGCAAGAAGAAAGGACTATGACAGAATGGATAGTTTGTGCTGAACTGCTATATCAGATTCTGGCAGTGTAAGTGAGAGATAATTTCCTGACAGATGAAGAAGAAATTTGAAGCAAAAGGGATGTGATTCAACAAACGGACACTGAGAATAACATGTATGGGACATACAAATAATAAAGAAGTTCTAAAGAAAATATGAACTACATTATTTACGTTATTTGGATTATTGTCCTCATCTTTGTCACCATATTTATTACAATGTTTCGGCCATTGTATGCTCCAGCCTTCTTCAGGTGGTTGGAATGTCAAACTTAACCCTTTATTTCCCTCACTGGGATAGACTGTTCTAGTTCCACGTGCCATGTTTAATGGATGTCAGTTATCAGTTATCTCCTGTTAATTTCCCTCTGAAAGTTCTCCACTGCCTTAACCAGGTATTGAACTCACTCTCTTTGGGTCCTGTCACTGGATCTAACTAACACCTTTATCCACTGTGCCATGTGTCCTTGAGGACATCTGTGTATGAATTTCTGGAACATTATACTTAAAATGATAAACATTTGAAATTTCTGGGACATATGGAGAAAGAGGGCTTAAAAAATGTAACACTCACTGAACATGTTGAAGAAAGAATTGACAAAGTGAAACACCAAGTGACCTACTGAATGAATTTGGGTAAATGAATAGCAGTGCAAAGATAATGAAAGAAGATAAAGAGTAAAACATTGCTTAAAGCAATAAGGAAGAGGAAGTTGTGGAGAGCCATGATCTTTCACATCTTGAAGGGACATTGTCCTCAGCTAAGATGATGGAACATGTTGAAGTAAATAAATTTATAACAAGATCCAAAATGTATATACATGATTAAGAAAAGACATCTGTGGCAGGACCTCCTCCTCCAGGAGAGCAAAAACAAAAATGTTTATGATGGACATCAGCATGGAAAATTAAAATGGTAAACTGAATTTAAATTGTAGCTTATGCTTGTCTAGTACTAACACCCTTGGAAAAGTCATCAACCCATTTTAGCATGCTCACAGTTGCATCACCAGATTTTATTACTGGAATGCAACAATAATTGACAAAGAAAAGAGTGAATGAATGAGCTTTTGGGCAGATTACCCTCTCATGACAACATTATTTTCCCCATTAAAACCTTGAAAATAAAATGGTTGCCGAAAATAATCCACTTGATCGAAATAGGAAGCAGTTTTTAAAATACAATCCCTGGAAAAAAAGCCAAGCAGAAAATATCTTCAAGGTTTAGAGGAAGCAGGCTTATTGGACTAAGGGAATCTTCCAGGTACCACATAAAAAATTCCACTTTATTTTTATGGTACCTGGAATTTTCTTTGAGAACAATACCATGAGAGGACTTTACAATAAACCTTTACTTATTTTATCCACTGTGTTGTTCAAGTATATATTCCTATTAGCATGGAATATAACATAATTGTAAAAAGACCTTCTAGTCAAAAAAGAAAAAAATATACCAAGATAAAGAGAATGAACTTTTTGAACCAAATTAATATACTCTTAATCTCGACTTTTCTTTCTTTGAATTTCTACAGCTTTAAAATACTCACACTGAAACTAAAAATCTTAAATTTGGCATCTCATTTACAGTCACTTTCTCACAGATGTGATGTGGCTTCCTTCTGTCTTTTCTACAAATATTTTCATGGAAACTGCTCTGATGAGCTACTTTCACTGGTACCCCATCTGCATGAATTTAAGCATGCTACTAGGTTGACATCTTGGTCCCACCCTTTCACTGTCAAAACAGTTAAAGGTAACTGCCTCTTCTACTCCAACAGCTTCTGAAGCCTTGATCCTG